TAAAGAGAATGCTTATTACCTCACTCTTGTGCCTCAGGCAACTCTCAAGAAAATCATAGACAGGTGTATCAACACTGAAATCAAAGGTCAAAGAATATTCATTGGTAAAAGATGCAGTTAAAACTTGGAACACGCCACACTGATTTTACAAAATACTCACACTTCTGGTTCTTCATCAAGATACTTGGAAGCAATGCGAATCTAAAAAGGTAAAGACGAAGAACAATCTCAGAGCAAATAGCATGCCTTCAATGTTGGTTCAAAAATTACTAATTTATTGGATACAACTGCATTGATGTGGTTCCATACACTTACCAGCATACAGACTGCATAAGGAGATCTCAATGACTGTTTGATGTACTTGAAGATAAGTTTAGAGACAGCCAGTCTATCAGTCTTCTTCACATGGTACAAAAGACCCAAGGCGTGGTACTAAGAAACGAATACAAGACACAAGGTTACCTTAACCCTTTAATTATATAACTGCCAGAAGTGACTAACATGTAACTTCTCTCTGTAATATCCATACGTCATCCAACAAACAGGTTAAGAGAATAAAAAAACATAACAGGAAGTGTGAATATGCAACTTTTCTCTATAATATCCGCACATTATCCAGCAAACAGGTACTGAGAATACTCAAAACTAAAAGGAAGAAGTTGTTGTCTTGATATAACATCAAATTCTCGTGATCATTTTACAAGGAAATGTGCTGCAGTTAAAAAGGAGAATTTACCTGCACCATGGTATTATCACTTGACACTGCCTCTTGCGCTTCATTTACCCAGCGCTTCACCACATCATAGTTTGGCTTCATAAGGTGCTGTTATAAGGAAATGCAACCAAACAAATAAAAAAACAAGGTATCTTTTAAGTCTTCGTTACATGCCCAGAAGATGCAATGAAAGAAATCTGTTTAATATAGAGTATGTATCCAAATATGGAACATAAATGTAAGTAAAAGCTAAATAAAAGCCCTNGTTTATATCGAATTAATTTGATGGCCTGCTCCCAGTTGGCTTGTTAGCTCAATTGGTAGAGCGCTGCACTAGTATCGCAGAGGTCAGTGGTTCGAATCCCGTACAGGCCTGAAATTTTTTTCAGGTCTGATTTTCACTATTGCTCAAATAGTGCTTTACTGCGAAGGATCGTTCTCATACACGTCTCATAACCGCAGTTCACACATATGTTTCATATGTTTGTTGTTGTTTGATTTATCATCTACGGGTTTATATCGAATTAATTTGATGGCCTGCTCCCAGTTGGCTTGTTAGCTCAATTGGTAGAGCGCTGCACTAGTATCGCAGAGGTCAGTGGTTCGAATCCCGTACAGGCCTGAAATTTTTTTCAGGTCTGATTTTCACTATTGCTCAAATAGTGCTTTACTGCGAAGGATCGTTCTCATATACGTCTCATAACCGCAGTTCACACATATGTTTCATATGTTTGTTGTTGTTTGATTTATCATCTACGGGTTTATATCGAATTAATTTGATGGCCTGCTCCCAGTTGGCTTGTTAGCTCAATTGGTAGAGCGCTGCACTAGTATCGCAGAGGTCAGTGGTTCGAATCCCGTACAGGCCTGAAATTTTTTTCAGGTCTGATTTTCACTATTGCTCAAATAGTGCTTTACTGCGAAGGATCGTTCTCATATACGTCTCATAACCGCAGTTCACACATATGTTTCATATGTTTGTTGTTGTTTGATTTATCATCTACGGGTTTATATCGAATTAATTTGATGGCCTGCTCCCAGTTGGCTTGTTAGCTCAATTGGTAGAGCGCTGCACTAGTATCGCAGAGGTCAGTGGTTCGAATCCCGTACAGGCCTGAAATTTTTTTCAGGTCTGATTTTCACTATTGCTCAAATAGTGCTTTACTGCGAAGGATCGTTCTCATATATGTAAATGTAATGTTAAACATACTGTAAATGTAGCGTTAAACATACTGTAAATGTTGTGTTAAACATACTGTAAATGTAGTGTTAAACATACTGTAAATGTAGTATTAAACATACTGTAAATGTAGTGTTAAACATACTGTAAATGTAGTGTTAAACATACTGTAAATGTAGTGTTAAACATACTGTAAATGTAGTGTTAAACATACTGTAAATGTAGTGTGAAACATACTGTAAATGTAGTGTGAAACATACTGTAAATGTAGTGTTAAACATACTGTAAATGTAGTGTTAAACAATGTCATCTTATTCTTGTAATGTTTTTTGTTTGGCCAAATTTTCTCTTTGTCAGCCAGCAAATTGATAAACAAAAAACATTTATTTCCTGGCTTTGTAACTGATCAGATCTTATGAGTTACTTTACACCCTACAATCAGTATGAATATTCCCTCTACTGTTCTCTAAACTTTTCCCAGAGTGCTGACAAGAAGAATTCGTTTGATAATCAAGAGCTTCTTCAGTTAGTGGTCATTTCCTTTATTCTCTTGATCTTACTTTTTGATTAACGAGTGATTTTGTATGAAGAAATTAGATGCTAAACACCCTTGTGGGTCATGGGGTTAATTTAAATTTTGTAAAAACTCCCCATGCATCTATTCTAAGCATCAAGTCTAGTGAACAAACAGAGTACCATAATCCAACTCACCAATGCAGAAACCAAAGATGCACTAGACACACTAGCATTTTTATCTACAATTGCTTGCTTCAAATATCGTTCAATTCCCTGCAGCATGGTGCTCTGAGAAAATGAAAAATTAACAACCTAAGCAGCTAATAACAAAATAAAACATTTGTAAGAACTCAAAAGTCTGTGCTCAAAAGGCTGTGCTATAGTAACATTTGCCTGAATTATTCACAAAATAAGGATCTGAATGAAGGCAGTAACCCATTTTAACCTCAAGATCCCAAATGTTAATTCTCGTCATGGTCTGCCATACAGTTCTAATTAAGTTAGTTTGGACAATTTCAATTACATGTAGGTATTGGATAGACTAATAATCAGCTAACTTACATTTTTCTTTTTTCCGATCAATTGTCTGCTTTATAACATATTGATATTATACGGAGAAATTCTGTTTTTGTCACTCACAGAAGTTAAAGGGCTTATCAAAATATGCAGACAGGGGTGTGGTCTAGCTTGCAGCACCCAGTGGCTCTTGGTACCTTACTTTTGCTCTTAGGCTACTCAGGAATCTTAGTTTTTTCATACAAAGCATATGCTGGGCAACCTGGATTTCACAGTTTCAGAGCACTGGGCTCCCATCAACTTTTCTTAGAGCAGAGCCTTGTACAGAACACCTTTACCTCGAATGAAAATCATAAATTACAAGGATGTGCAGACTTACATCTGTGATTTTACAAAGGGCTCTGATAGCACTAGCACGATACATGTCTTCCTACAAAAACAATACAAAAATACATGTAGATTATTCAAAATGCCAAGGTTCATCATTGAAACATCTCAAGGACTCTAAAAACTAAATTGTAACACACAAAGTAAAATCAGGAAGAGTTACCTTTCCTGTCATGTCCTTCGTCAGACTAAGAAAAAAAAAGTCTCATCAACCAAAGGAATAAGACAAACATTACAAGGATTGCTGAAAAGTTCTACTCTAAAATACATGTTTAACTCTTTTCACTCCCAAGATCTTGGTAGAAATTCTCCTTACTGTCTGCCGCACAATTCTTGTTAAGTGAGTTTGGAGAATTTGGTGTTGAATCAATCGATAATCCCCCAATTTGAATTTTAAATTCCTATCCCTTGTATGCGTGATGTTGTATAGGTACTGCCAGGAGAAATTCTGTCTTGGTCACTCATGGATATTTAAGGGTTTAAGAGAAGTCAAAATCTTGACCTCATCTGCAGCAACTTAAAATGTAAGCTTCTCTTGTATTTCCTTACCAGAGGTTCAAACAAGAGCCATTTCAAAATTTGTCTCCATGTTTGGCAAAGGCATGTTTGCTTAGAGATAAAGGTCATTCATGAAAAATGGTCTTAAGGGAAGGCCACATACACAGTAGGGACAGAAAAGAGGGTAAAATTTAACAATATAATCAAGAGTGCCCCCTAAAAGTTCATTTTTTTAAAAGTGCAGTACTTTCTGTGTCAACACCTTATATATATCAGTGAATAAATTATGGCAAGGTTCTGTTGGTCAGACAGTTCATTTTAAAGTGAGGTAAAAATAACTGTCCAAAGTATAATAAAGAAATCTGTTCAGTTTCTTCACCTGTCACTTCTGCTGATTAACCTAAATGACACTTGCTTAGCTGTATGTTAACTGCTGACAGACAAGATATTCTTATTACAAACCTGCTGGTCACAATGATCACGTCCTCGGCTATATTTGCTAATTCTTTTATAGCCAAGTACACCATTCTTCGAAGCATTACCTACAAAAAAAATTCATTTAAAGAGCATTTTGATATCTAATATAATGCTTGACCTAAAAGCTAGATCTAAATCTTATATTCCAAGACTACCAAATGCAAAACATCTACTCCAACTCACATCTTTTGATTGAAACAGCTTTGTCATTGCAAAGAATGCCTCTGTAGCTTCTGTTGTACCAAGATGTTGCCCCTAAAAAAAAAAATAAATAAAAATGAATCCTCTAGGCAGCTTCAATTTTACATGGCATGGCATGATGGATATGGTCAGGGGTTCATTTCTTGAAATTCCCAGTAACTTGATAGGCCTGAAGCCACATTTTAAAATCAAAATTTAAAGATACAAAAGCAGGTTCTGGCACCCAAATCAATCCATTTTGTTTCTTTAGCTGATATTTTTTTGTATTATCTTCAGAACAGCTTTATAGGCCCATTAAGTCAGCAGGACTTTGGAAAAACATGCCTCTGAACACTTGGTCACCTTTCTTTTAACACTTATTAGATGTTTCGAAGGTTCACAATTATGAAAAATACCCATTTACATCAATCTTCAGTTTTTACATGAAGAGGAGTAATTAACTGCTGATTACAAAAATTATACTACAATTTCAAAAGAACCCCAAGCATTCTGAAAAGAATCCCTATGCCCTTTCACCTCTTAAAGCGATGAGCATCTTATTTCTCCCAACAATACCACCCCTCAATCAAAGATCAATGTCACAAGAGCAGAGGACATAATCAGCAACTTGGGAAATTTGATTGTAAAAGCAAATCTTCTGGTTTGTTCCACAGGAAATATAGAGAGAACAGTTGGGAGAATATACAGATTGATGTTAGGAGGAAAAGGATTAACTCTCAAACAATTCTCCTTTTAATATGTCCGACACAATAATCTTTCTCAGAATTTTAGCTCTGAGATTTTGGTGCTACATGGATCAATTCTCATCACCTTTCTGATATTACAATGAGGAATAACTTGAAGGTCATTCGTAGGAGTGAATGTATTGAGAGAAGAAATTCAATATCTTTCCTGTTAAAAGCTCACATACCTGGTTCAGTACATACAGAATCTTCGTCAGAATGTGAATACATTTTCGCGGATTTATCGGGGTTTCGTTAAATGTGCGAGCCTAGGAAAAAAACAGTATTTTACGGCGTGAATTTGCATTAAAACAATAGAAATCTAACCCGAGAGATATAAAAGAACTAAATATTTTGCGCTAACCTCTTGGAGAACGGCACTCTTGTCAAGATTTTGAAACGGGTTCGACTGCGAACCTGCCACGAGTAAAAACATAGCATCACGACTCTTATCTGCTAAATATTTCATGGAGAAATGAAAAAATGATATAAGAATACTTTACCATCTTCCTCGTCCTTCTTATCTCGCCGTAAATACTGCATTTTGCCTCAAAATTCGACCTAATCTCGCCAACTTGGTGAATCTTCAAAATGGAGACGTGGCAGAACAAAGCATAATGGGAAGGATTCGTGGGCTCAGCGTTACACAGCGGTATTTTTTCTCGTTACCAGTCTTTGTAAAAGTTACGCCTACAATTCTCCTCCTGTTTTACTGGTCATAATTATATCTATAAAAGGTTAGTTAACAACTATTCACTTCAGTGTCGGTGGTTAGTGGTGGATATTTACCGAGCCGCGAGGTAAATATCCACCACTAACCACCGACATTGAGGTGAATAGTTGTTTTAGTATATACCTAAACAGTGAGATAATATACACCACCAAAAATTGATTTGAATTCACACATTCCAGCAACGATTCCAACATTTTCCCGCGCGAAAGATTCATTTGCATTTGTAAAAAAATCTTTCTCATTGGTTTTTATCGATAAACTCCGGGTTAAAAACTTAAACCATTACTTTTAAACACGGCTAAACCCAAATTTAGTCGCTTTCTTTGTGTTTTCGGGGACTGCTTCGTCGTTAATTTGAGTGATAATATTCTTTCCAGCTTAGTATATACTAAAACAGTGGATAGCGTTGAAGGCGCGCTCTGATTGGCTAGTCAAACTCCGAATATCTTTTGCTATTTACCTCCGAGCAACTCGGGAAAAAATGGCGTCCCGGTTTGCATCCGTGACGAGCGAAGAAATCACTCAAATCAAAGACGATGGTGTATATATCTCACTTTTTTAGTATATACTAAGACAACTATTCATATACTAAAACAACTATTCACCACTAACCACCTCCACTTCAGTGAATAGCTGTTAATTAGTCTTCGAGTCCTCAGGAAACATGGTGAGGGGGCGGAAAGATATGAGATCCTGGGAACGAGTTTGGGTATATCCAAATTCTTTCCAGCTTAATTCGTGACCTCAGCACACTATCTGAACAAGAATATTTCTTCCTTCACATCTGAGCTTCCTAAATAAGGAAAGAAAAAAGGGAAATAAAAAAAGAGAAAATAAGTCAGAGAGTTGTGCAACCGAAGGGGAATGGTACTGGTCTGACGTGAGAAAGCTTCAGCTTCAGGGTTAGGCTCATCTGTTTCAAGGAAAACCAAAGTACGGTCGCTCAATGTCTTCATTAGTAACAACTAAGAAATTTCACACAAGCGTAAGGATTATTCAGAGCATGACGCTAAAAAAATGTAATTCCGCTTTTGGACTCAAAACGACAGATTTGCTATTATGAAGGACTTTCCTTTTATTAAAAGCGTATTATTTTCTTATCTATGCTAAGTCTAAAGAAATTTTCAATCGAACGTGTAAAGTAATTTAGGAGTGCTTTGGTTTTGAGTTACTTTTTATAATTGGTCTGTAAAACTCACACCAGCCCCTCAACCAATGAGATGCAAAATAAAAACCCATCCCAAATCTGTCAGAACATCTTTTTAAGTCTTACCTGACGTCACAAGTAAATTTTAATCTCATCTTTCCGGAAGTGCGTGAGATAAGCCGCTGTTGCCCAAGGGATTACATTTATAAAGTCATTACGCCGATGTCGAACCTAATTTAGCAAGTTATTTGCTGAAGAATCAAGTTTGTTACGTCAAAGGGTCTACTTTTGACAGATGGGCGGTTATTTCGATAAAACAGATGGAAAGCGCTGGATCACTGTAAAACAACTTCGCTAAAGGACGAGATCAATACAAGATGACGCAAATTTGGACATTTGCAATTTTCGGGTTCTGTTTATGGAGTTTAAGACCAGGTAAGGTCGATTTTATATAAGTGCAAAATCAACCAACCTTGGATTTTTCATGAGGAAATTTTCATCAAAACCAACGTTATGGAGTTTTCTTCCGTAGTGTTCAGCACTGCTTGCACTTTGAGACGTCCAAGTTACGTACTGACTTTTAGACCGAACGAGCTTTGCTTTAGGCTTTTCCTTCAATTTTAATTGAATGACAAAGTTTAGAATGTCTTTTATTGCTTTCTAATAACGAAGCTGGACTCCCCCTTGCTTTCTGAAGTCAACCACCTTTCCGATAGTAATTAGAAACCCACCGAGTTTTCGCCATAAACCAATTAACAGAAACAAACCGCCATAGAAACAAACCCTTGCAAAAATTCTCACTCGCTTTTAAAATAAATGACCAATGTTGTGCATGAAATTTGGGTTTAGACCATGGGAAAGCGCCATACGTTCTCTACTGAGCCATTTATTTCATTTTAATAATTTCCGTTGTCACAGAAGATCAACAGATTAAAATATCATCCTTTCCATTCTTTGGGATTTAATTAGTTCTTTTTTCTAAGGTCCTTGTTATCCGCTGCAAATATCCTGTAAATTTAACAGGTTAAAAACAACCGGAACATCTAGGCTAAAGTCTGACGGTCTCTTCATCAAAGCGGATCTATTCTCTTCAAAGGGCTCTTTCTTTTTCACTTATCTTGCACAAATCGGCTTTAATTTTATTATGATTCGTTGGCAGTTATATATGTGACTGTCTCATCCACTCAAAAGTGGTTTTTTTAAAAGCATAATTTCTTGTGTGCTTTCTAAACAATAGACGGGGATAAAATTGAGCAATGACATCTGTGAAGTACAAAAACAATGACCTTCGTCATTTTTTGTCTCTTTTGATAAAGAGCTCTCCGGTAGAGGAATCCTCTTTAGCTTTTCAAATGTATCATTGAAGTACTCTCAAGTAAGCCATACTGAGAAAAATCCGCCTTTATGACTCCGTCGGGCAATTAGCTCCTCCATAAAGAAAAACTTGATCGGCAATTAATTGTTTATCTTTTTACACAAGTCGACTTTCATCGATTGCAATTCTAAATCCATTTAAGACAACAGATCATATTCCTTTCATCTTCAAATCCTTCAGTAAACACGAAAGAGGAAAACATGATTTGAGCTTCGAATGATACAATAATCTCGGCGAATGTTTTTAACTTGGGGCCTTACAGTGAAAGTTACGCCTGCCAAAATAATACAATGTTTATCTCTTTGCCAATTAATAGGAAGGGATTATTTATGGTACAGCATCTTAGCCAAAAAATTACAAAGGAAAACATTATCTACGCCGTAAACTACAAGTCTCGTCAGTTCCTAACTGTCACCATCCACAGAATTTCAAGTGCTTAAATTTAAGTTCAAAGTAGGCAATTGGTTAGGGTCCGGCCATAATTTTTCTTCTGGGGAGAGGGGAGGAGGTCGGGAGATTTTGTTTACCTGATCCCCCCATGAGGCTGTAATATTCTTTGACCCTCCCCTCCCCCCTCATTGGCAGTTAGTTGGGAATCAGTTTTCTGCGGTCCCCTCTTTCATCATACTCTTTTGGCGACGACTAATGCTCCTCCGTTCCGCCTGAAAGCCATACAATCCCAACAAAATCCTGCGATCCCCCCCTAGCTTAGGCAATAAATAAATAATAACTTGTCCTCTAGTATTAACATTTCACTTGTACAACTTAAGTAAAGTTTTCGATAAGCAATTAAGGATAAAAACCAGCGATATTAAAGGATGACGTTTTGACGGCTCCATGCCATCATTCTCAAATTCAAATAAATACATTGTATTTATTTGAATTTGAGAATGATAGCATAGAGCCGTCGAAACGTCATTCTTTAATATTGCTGGTTTTTATCCTTAATTACAACTTAAGTCCATTTCATTACTTAAAGGAGTCGTAGATGGCAATTTGAAACTGCTCCCATACAGAAAGAACAATCTACAAATTAAAATTTCGATGGAAATTTGACTGGGGTTGGGGTGGGGGGTTACTAGGTAAAATTTTGGTTCCAATTACGGGGTTCGAGTCATCGAGGTTGGTGTTGAATTTCAATTATCCTGTTAAAAATTGATAAGGAATATCATGTTTTTGTAAGTCTTGTACAATCTACAGTCATTTTTGTAGGTCAAATCCAAGGGAAATCGGATCTTGTTGGAAATAGCGGAGGGTTGGAGTTAGCGGGGGTTCTACTTTACATGCCACCCCTAGTGGCATGGCTTATGAACTGTTTCGTTCTGAAAATAGGCACAGATTTTTATTCACTTCTTTACGCAGTTCGATCTACCAGATGCCTTTCTTGTCAAGGACTGATTGGTTCGACATGTGAGAGTGTTACAAGTGAAGTGGAATGTCCACACACCCATGACTCTTGCTTCACAGTCACCAGAACTATGGATTACCCTGGCATTGGCAGGTATGTTGAGGTGTTAAAAAATTGCTCCATCTTGCAAGACTGCTGGTTTATCGGAAACGCCTCGTGCGATAACGCCGCCCACAGGTTTGTCAACAGTTGCTCCATTGATTGCTGCATTGGAGATTTATGTAATAACAAAACCGTACAGATTACGCAAAACTCTACGACACGCGTGATCACGCACACTAGTACAGTTTTCGAAAAAGGCACGAACCTTAAGCGAGAGGTAACCCACATTGGTGCAACACCAAAGGCTAGGCAGGCGCCAAGGTTCACATCCGGGGTATTTCTGACGAAAAGAAAGGCAACACATGCGCCAACGGAAACATCCGGGATACCGATGATGACGTCTGGGTCGTCAACACAGAGCCAGTCCAACTTGAATGACAAAGCATTTGCATCCTGGACTTCGCAGAAATGTCAAGTTTCCATATCTAGCGGTAACATCACCACCACTGACTCGTCGCGCGAAGTAAGAGCAGTCCCCAATAATTCCAAAGGACTTTGGAGTCAGTTGCTTACTCAAGTATTAATGGTGCCTCTGGGAATTATATACGGGAGATTTTAGATATCAAAGGATAGGTTAGCTTATCATGGTTGGACCTCAACTTTTACTTTGTTAGGCAAACGAGATGGACTAAAGATTAGAGTTCTGTAGTCATACAAAGATTAAGGTGGCTCTGTAACCAATGTGCAGATTTTTAAACTAAAAAAATTGGGATCGTTTAATTAGTTTGCAAGTAAAAGATACGAAAATCCAAAATGGGGGGTGTTTCTTGGAAACTGAAGTGTCGCCATGGTAACCTTTCATTAGAAACTGAATTGGAGAAATCATAATACGTTTTTTGAACCATTTTTGAAGCGTCAAAGTGTTTAAAAATAGAAACACAGGTTTAGCTTTCACAACAACTGTTTACAATCTTTAACAACAGACAGAATTGCTTCAGAATATTTTATCATTATTGTGTATTTAGAGAAAGTAGGAAAGATTGATGCACGAAATTGCCGGCTGAAAACTAAGTATGTTTGGTGAAGGAGGAGTACGCTTTAGAACCCTTGTAATTTTAATCTCTGCCATCATTAGGTATAGTGCTGCTTCAGGAAAGGTTTTCGGAAGAAAAGACGAAAGTGCACGCGACAATCTCAAAAGATAATCTGGGTATCGGCAATCATTGCATTTTAAAAGTAAAGAAATGAGTAAAATGAATAAACAAATTCACCAAAGCCCCGCAATGCCTTTTTCTTATAATGATGTTTTCTCATATTTCCCTGAAATTCTGAGGTTATGGAACGGAGCTGTAATCTGTATACTACCCACAATATCTCTCGTTTTATGCCTCATGCACTTTTACGTTTTTATCCAACAACTTTTCTCGAAACAGCTGTATAAAAAATCATAACATTGAACAGGCTTTTCAGATCCCAAAGAGCAATTAAAACGCCAGCTTTTGCAAATTCCCTTGAAACGTACTAAAATTCAATATTTGACACAAGTATTTTGCTTTGTAAGATGGCTGCTTACGCCGGCGAGCCGTCGAAAAAA